AGGGTGTTCCTTCCAATCCGCCCAAGATCCCATGGCTGGCCTAGGCTCCAAGGCTTCAAGGACATCCCAAGGTCAGGCTTCTCCCCCCAGGGTGAGGGGAGGGTGTTAGGGAAAAAAGTAGGAGGTAATCGAAAGCCCAGGGAAGGGCAGCCCAGCAAGCCCAGTCGGAGGTGGAGGGAAGGGTAAGGTTCGCCCGTGCTCACTGCTCATACAGGGAAAGAGAATGTTGAGGGGAGGCAAGCGCCCCACCCCTTCCCTGAAAAATGCTCCTGTCTGTTTGCACGGCTGCAGCAGTTCCAGGCTTAGAATCAAGATCTCAAGGAAAGATAGGGAAAGTGTTAATGGGTCATGAGGCCCAGCTGAGGAGTTTTCCCCCAATACCAGGGGCTCAGGGTCTCCAGGGGCAGGAATCACCCGCCACCCAGTTGTGCAAATCCTGAGGCAAGTATAAGCTGCGTCCACCCCTCTTTGCCTTTCGGGATCTCTATCGAGGCAAAGGGACCCTACGACTTTGTACCGGGGGTCCCTGCAAAGATAGGGATTGGGGTAATGGTCCTTCATCTCGTCCTGCTTCCTCCCCCGCCATGACTCAGCGTGGTGCTGCTGCGTTGCGCAGCTAACCGAGGGAGCTAGAGCTGGAGAGGGTTGGGGAGTAGCGGCCTGGAGAGCAAGTCTGTGGGGTGGTAGTGGGAAGATACTGGCCACAATCCCCGGGTGGGGGCTCCGCGAAGGCGCCCCACCCGCCACTGCCCCAGGATCCTTCTCCATGGTTCCAGACCCTCGCACGTGGCTAGGGGCGCTCACCTGGCACAGAAGGGGGCGGGTTTGTGGGGTGCGGCGGCGGAGGGCGGTGGGCTGGCGGGTGGACTGAGATGCGAACGCTGCAGTCGTCACCGGAACCGGGTTCTGCGGCGCGTTCCGAGAGGAACGAAGCCTATTCAGATCCCAAGGGGGCGGCGCAGGGGGCGGGCGGGAGGAGGCGACTCTGGTCTTTTAAAGACACCGCTCCGCCCTCCACTGGGTTTTTTCCTTTACCGGGGACTGGAGGCGTCCAATTGCAGGCGAGGGACAGTGCGCAAGGCCGCCCAGAAAGGCGAAGCTAGGAGGCGGCTCTTGGGAGGGGACAAGGCAGCTAGAATACGATCCCACCCCCATCCCCCCAGGACGTGACTCGGGCCACATCCCGCGGGTCGCCAGGGCCCTCCCCTCCCTTATACTTCCCCCCCACTCAGTCTGGCGCGCTCTGGAGTGCGGTGACTCAGCCGGAATTTTGGCACGGGATGAGATGGGGATGGGGAGGTGGGGGAAAAGCGATAGAAGAAGAATCAAAAGATACGAAGGCTGGCTTCTCTCCTCCCAGGTACCATCCCCGCGCCAGGGCAGCCCCAGCTTCCGGCCAGCGTGGTTGCATTGCATGTCACATCATAACCAAATCAAGAGGTCGGGCGTCTGCCTGCCTCGCCCGTGGGCTGTCCTGCTCGGTGCGGAGCTGATCCCTCCCAGTCCTTAACTCAGGCGCAAGAGAGGCGGGGAGAAGGGCGGCGAACGGAAGCACTGGGAGCGGAAGAGAGCGGCCTGGGCTTGCAGACAGCCGTAGCGAGGCCTTCCCCTAGGTGTGGGGTCCCGCCCTGGCAAGGGGTTCCCGCGTCAGCGTAGAGTCGGGCCGGGAAGGCCAGCCTGGCCTGCTCTGGCACATGCGCTTTCGCCCGCTGCTGGTGCAGACTTGAAAACCAGACTGTGCGGAACTAACCGGCTAGGACTTGGCCTAAACAAGTGTCCCTGAACCTGAATTCCTTCTCCAATACAAAATCCACCCCCGCGCTGATCCGCAGATTTCCGATTTCCGCGCTCCCAGATATTTATTGAGCTTCCCGAATCCTTCCCCCATTCCAACCCCTTCGGCCCACCCCCACCCCACAGAGTTCGGCTAGCTGCCCACCTGCTGCGAGGCTGAAAGGGAGGCGCAGGCAGAGCGTGGTCGTGGTCGGCGGCAAGAGAGCCAGGCGGACACTGGGTTATAAGGCAGCTCCTGCCCTCCCCCCACACACAAATGTCCCCGACCTTCACGGTAACCCCTGCCCTTTCGCCGCCACGGATCCCCGGCAAAGGACCTATATTTAGGGAAACCTGAAGCCCCTGACATTCAAGCCAGCTGGGGCCCTCCGTGGGGGAAGGAGGAGGAAGCCTTGGGTCTGCCCTAGGGGGAGGAGGGGTCCCCTCCCACTCACCGGTACTTCAGAGGAAATTTCTTCCTTGGAGACCTAGACTGAAGCTCTTGGTTGTCAAGAGAAATCAATCTTAGACCCGAGGTCTGTGGGGAGGGAAAGGAGTACAGGCAGTTAGATGGGGTGGCCACCCTGCCTCCTCCCATGCCTCCTCTGATTCCCTCCTCCCCGTGGCTCTGGGACTCATGGTGGCTCCTTTTTTTTTTTTTTTTTTTTTTTTTACGAGGGAGAGCAGATGCAGGCAAATACTCACCTCCTAAAATAACCAAGAGTCCATGAACGGGGTGTGGTTGGGCACCCCTAAATCCTGACACTCAAGGCCAGCTGAGTCCCACCCATCATGCAGTCTGTGGTGAGCAATGCTCCCCGAATCCTCCAAATCAAATACAATAGTTTACTTGGGGAGGGAAAGAGGGGCAGCCTCTCTCCCTCCCACCCTCCAAAGGAGCTGCAGTCCAGCTGCCCAAGGGCTCCCTGAGCCCTGCCTTGCAGGTAACCCGGCCCTCCAGTTGCCAGAGTGGTGAGCCATTTGTGGTTCCAATGGCCTGGAGAAAAAGTGTCTTGGGGGCCCTGAGGGAGGGGAGCATGTGGGCCCTGGGGGCTGGCTGCTCCCCAAAGGGCAGGGATCCTGGGTCCTCATCGGAGCTTGATCTCAAAGCAGAGACAGTTGAGGCTCTGGCAATCAGGAAGTTGGCAGGCACAGGCACAGTCACAGAGCGGGCAGCAGCGGGGGCACTGAGGAGCCCAACCCTAAGGAGAGGAGAGAGTGGTGAGGCAGGACCAGAGCCGCAGTCTGTTTCCCTCCAAGGGGAGAAGGAAACAGAGGGGCTGTGGAAGTTGCAACTGCTAGTGGTATAGAGAGTACCATCCACCCTGTAATCCCAGAGATCGGGAGGCTGAGACAGGAGAATCATGAGTTCAAAGCCAGCCTCAGCTAAAGGGAGCTGCTAAGCAACTCAGTGAGACTGGTCTTTAAATAAATATAAAATAGGCAGTTAGATGGGGATGCGGCTCTTTTTTTTTTTTTTTGAGATCCCTGAATCCAATCCCCAGTGCCAAAATAAAGTACTATCCACCATTCCTGAGAACAAAGCTATTCCCTGTGCTGCTGGGAAATCAGCAATGAGGCAGTGTTCTAGCATTTCAGCTCAGGAGCTGGAGCCAATTACATAAGGGTTCTCTCCTTCTTCCCATTGCTTATATAAGGAGGCTGAGCACCAGTGGGTCCTTGGTCTATGCTAGAATTGAGGTGTCCCAGTGAAGGTGGTTCTGCTACAACCTCATGGCCTTGTGCAATTGAGAGGCAATAGGAAGAGAAAGCATGCGTGTTTTTCTGTCCATCATGAAAAGAATTGCAGTGGTTATATGGACTTCTTTCTTGGCATGAGACCCAACTGCAGGATGTCATTCATTGTTGAGCCCAACTTTGTGTAGGGCACAGACTACATTCATGAATGATTTTTATTTTATTTTATTTTTTAATATTTATTTTTTAGTTCTCGGCGGACACAACATCTTTGTATGTGGTGCTGAGGATCGAACCCAGGCTGCACGCATGCCAGGCAAGCGCACTACCGCTTGAGCCACATCCCCAGCCCCACGAATGATTTTTAAAACTTTCTAGTTTTCTTTGAAAAATGAAAATTTCAATTTTTTTAAATTTAAGATTATATCTTTTAATTATCACAGTCCTGAAGAGTGGGCCTCTTAATAAAACGGAAATAGAGGCTCAGAGAAGGGAGTGACCTGCCCAAGAGAAACAGTAAAGCTGGGATGGACCAGGGTCTGCTAGTCTTTAGGCCTACGATGCCCCAGTCCCCACTATCTCCCAGGACTAAGCATGTCAACTTCATTCTGGGGTACAAAGGCAGGCCAGTTTTTCTCCTGTCCTCCACTGGGCCAGTGTAGGGAACTTGGCAGGTGTCCAATATGCAGAAAAATGTTGAATGAATGGATGAATCTAAACACTTCATTTTTCCCTCTTTATGCAAAAATAAGAGGGCTTCTAAGCTCCAGGAAAACAACGTCTGTTGGTCAGGGAAAAGGAACATCATGTCCTTACAGATAGGGAGACCTGACCCCTCCACTTACTGCTCCTCTGCCTGGGACAAGGATGATCTGCAACTGCCCCAGGCATGGACTGGAGGCAGGCCAAATGGCTGGAGTGGGACACACCCAGGATGGCTGTATGACAGAAGATTGGCTCCTTGAGGAGTAACAGTCACAGTTGCACTGTTCAATCAGAGACTGGGCCAAGCCAGGAATAGGGGAATGACCTTTTCAACAGCTGAGGTTTCGGGGTGCGGTGTCAGATGACTGGTGAGATCAGTGTCACTAGGGTTCCAGCAAGGGGAGGGGATTTGCCAACGGCAGGCAGAGGGGTCTGAATTGGGCTGTGCTAATGTCTACAGAGGGAGAGGGCTAGAGGTGTCACGGTGGAAGGGAGAAATGGTTTTTGTGTGTTTGATGAGGGTGTGGTTTAGGGGTGTCTCTGGGGAGTCCCAGTTTGGGGATGATGTTGGCTCTGTGGGTTTTGAGGACCACTCCATCATTCTGTACACAGAGCTGGTGGCTGAGAGCAACTATACTGCCCTTACCTCAGAAACAGGGTATTAAAAGCATTTCTTGGCTCTGTGCACTGAAGGGTTTAGATCCAGTCATTAATAACTGGCTAATGGGTTTCTTGACTCTCACAAGCAGCCATGTGGCTTCTGGAAGGAATCTGCTGTTTAAGTACATTAAACAAGGACTCCACAAGACTGTTAACCCTTGCATTTCTAGAACTAGGCTCTTTCACTTTGGAATTTCCCTTGATCTTCGTGAGGACCAGTCATCATTTTACAGATTACAGCTCAGGCTTGAAATTCAGAAAGGCCCAGGCTTCAGTCTCAGCTTGGCTAATTCATGTTCTGAACCTCAGTTTCTCCATCTCTAAAATCAACACAGCACCTGCTTCACAGGGTCACTTGGAGAGTCAGTGGGAAGCACTGAGCCTATACCTGATAGGAGCATTCTCACCACTGTAGTTCCAGTTCCCCTTAACAGTAATTCTCAACACTGGTGTGAATCAAAATTATGTGAGAGCTCATTAGAAGGTCACAAACTACAGTCCCACCCCACACCTACTGAGTGGCTTTCCCTTTAACTCCCCCACCTGCTTCTGATCACACACATGGCTGTCAATCAACCCATGATATCATACCCTCCTTACATTCTACGGTAATTGCCTATTTCTCTCTGTCCATGTAAGCCCTGGGAGGGGGACCTTGTCTGTGCTGTTTCTGCTGAGCCCCTGGGGTCCAGCACAAAGCCTCAACAGTGACTTCATAAATATTTTGATGAATTTTTAAATGAAAGGATGAGATCCTCACCATTTGCCAGTGAAAGCAACATGGCAGGCAGGTTTTTTCCTGAGAAAGGAAAAGAGCCCTGGGTTTGTGGTCTGGCTGGCCCAGTTGTGTGACCTCAGGCAAGTCACTTAAGCCTCTGTGAGCTTAAATGTCCACAACTGTAATACAGGCAGAGCTCTGTCACCTTTGTGACTGTCATTGTTACTATAAGGAAACTAGCAAACACAGGGACTGCAGTGTACTTTGAGGAAAGAGCTCAAGGACAGAATGACCCTGCCTGCCCTTGGCTCTCTACATCCCTTCCTGCCCAGTTCCAGCAGAAGCTGGAGAGGTTCAGGCCCTAAAGTCTCCAGGTCTGGAGCCTTGCCAATCCTATAGCCTTGAATTGGCAGGTGGGGGGACCCAGTCCTTTTTTACAGTACATCTCACCCCACCCTCTCTCCTAAGGAAGAGATGCTTCCCTGTCAGTTTACCTCATGCATACAGACAGGCAAGGGGACTGTGTCCCCAGGACAGGGGGCCACAACTCACTTTGTAATTGGGCATCTCCTATAAGATAGGAGTTTCTAGATAGAACCCAAGGTCGTCTTTTTTCTTCCCCTTTCCCTCTCATCAGTAATGCTGGGGCCCTACTCCTGGCTATTCCTGGGGAATCAGAAGCAGATTATTTGAAAGAGGAGAGCTCCTTGTCCCACAGTTTATTTTGAAACTCAAAACATCTGCCAGAAATTTGCAGCAAGCCCAGTCAGCCCAAGTTTTGACTTTGCTGGGGCTTGTTCTTTTATCCCCCACTTCCTCCTAGGGAGGTCACCGCTCCAAGGGCAGAAGCTTTGCTGTCTAATTCTCTGAGCTCAAAATATCACTGTCTAGAAAGGTGGTCGATCACTAAACATCTTTAAACCCACAAATGTAAAAATGGCTTGTCTTCAGTGAGCCAGGCTTCTCCCCTGAGGATTCTGCCGCTGCTAGGACTGTGGAGCAATTTTCTAAGCAAGGCTTCGCTGGGTAACACTGAAAAGCCATTAAACTTTCCCAAGCCAGTTTACCCCCCTGCAGAAAGGGCATAATAATACTTATCCACCTACATGTTCAGGCATGGAGAGGCGGCCAAGGTATCATGTCAAGTTTAAAGGACAGGTAGCAGTTGTGGTGATATGGTCTATATGGTGTGACTCCATTTTTGCCAAATAATAGTAAGGTGCAGCAGTAATAGTACTGGATATTAGCATATGAGGGACATACACAAAATGTAGCCACTTTGGATTTGAGAATTTGTTTATAAAGTGATTTATATTTTGTGGTTTTACATGTGTGCTTTGCAAATAATACTTTTTGTAATGCTTTTTGAAATATTTTGTAAACATATATATAAGTTTTTAAAAATACCCAACTAGCCAGGTATGGTGGCACATGCCTGTAATCCCATTGGCTTGGGAGGCTGAGGCAGGAGGACCACAAGTCACCCTCAGTAACTTAGCAAGGCCCTAAGCAACTCAATGAGACCCTGTCTCAAAATATAGTATAAAAAAGGGTTGGGGACATGGTTCAGTGGTTAAGAACCCCTTGGTTCAATCCCTCTACAATAAATAAATAAATAAATATGCAATTCACATAACTAGCAATGTATCAATTAAAAGTTAAAAGTGAAATAAATACCTAGATCTCAGGGTTTCTAGGAAAAATAATAATGCCAATAAAGTGGTGTTCTCTGGGACATAATATTCACTCAATGACTCTCAGGTGCTCTGGGAGCTATTTTTCCTTTTTTTGTTTTTTTCAGTCCCCATAAGTGAGTTATGAGTTCCCAGACCCTTTTAAAAATTTTTTTGAGATGGATCTCGCTAAATTCTTGAGGCTGGCCTCAAACTTATAATCCACCTTCCTCAACCTCCTGAGTTGCTGGGATTACAGGCATGTGCCACTGTGCCTGGCTTAGCTATTTTCCTTTTAACTACCATTTTCAGAAGTGTTGATTACGTGCTGTGCATGTTGCACAGATCACCTTTCCCTGGCGGTTGCCCTATTTTCCTCAGGTAGCCGTCATCGTTAGACAGGACCTGATGTGTTGTTATGTTGTCTTCACATAGCTCAATACCTGAACCGTGCCTCACCTAGAGTTGGTGCTCAGTAACAAATGTGATTGAACAGAGACAATAAAGGCACAGATCATCCCTAGATCAGAGCTCTGCGGGGCAGGGTGAGAACTCACAGCTTCGCTGGGTTGAGGGCAGCAGGCATCCAGGTAGCGGCCAGGGCTGGGCAGAGGGAAGTCACAGGCTTCTGCACAGGTCCAGCAACAGTCTTGTAAGGCACCTTTCTTCCTGCAGGGGGAGCTGCAGTCTGCGCAGCAGCCCTGGGCCTAGGAGATGGGAGGGCTCAGGATCCTGAGAGCAGCAGAGCAGGTAGGTAGGGACGGCTGAAACTCCCTTTAGGGAGGGGGCGAGATAAGGATGGCCTGGGGACAGGGAGGAGGGACTCCTGGTCCCACGAAAAGGATCCATGCAGGGACTATAGGGTGAAGGTGCCTCATAGTAAAAGTCTGAGATGAGGGGCAGATTGACTGGCATCCCGTTTTCCAGAACCCACCCTTTATTCCTCACGGCCCCCTCACCAGCAGGAAGTGCCTAGTCAGCAGCACTAGGCCCAGCAGCAACAAGTAGATGCCCACCGCAATGAAGACGATGGCAGGAATGGGCAGCAGCAGGGGAGGGCTGCTGGCAGAAGCCTGGGTTGGATCCCATGGGCTAGAGGAGGCCTGGACAAGCAGAGGAAGGGGGGGGGGTGACAAGGAGGTGGGGGGGCAGCAGGAACACAGAAGGACACAGGGGTGGCTGGGGGAGGAGCAACCACTAGATCAGGGAGAAAGAGTCAATTGGATGACCCCTTGACTCACCATCTTGTCCCCCAAACCTGCCTTTTCCCCTGTCATCCCCATTTCACCGCCATCCAATACTTCTAGAATCTCCCAGGACTTAAAAAACTCTTCTCTTAAGTTCGCTTCTCCAAACAGACCCCATCTCTAACCCCACTGCCACCACTTCACCCTCTCTCCCTGATGACTTGGTAGACTCTTTATCTTGCCGGGAACACCGGAAATGTGCCCTCCAGCTGTTAGTCCATCCAGGACCCTGTTTTTCTCCCAGCTCTTGTCCTAAGCTGGAAGGGCTGGGTAAAAAGCTCCTTCCCCAGCCTTAGCTGGAGGCGAGCAAAGTCAAGGGGAGCTGAGGCGCGGAGGGGGCCGCAGCAGGGTAGGGAAGGGGCCTGGACTCACGTCCATGGGGCAGGGCTGCGCTAGTCACTCCAGGAGCTGCAGAGAAAAAGAAGGTCCTGGGCTCAGAGGCTGAGAGGGGCCGCTGGCCCGGGCGCCCTCTCCTCCTCCCATTTCCCGTGTGGGGAAACTGAGGCCCACTAACGGCTCTGGTCTGGACCGTGGTGGGTGGTCCTGGGATGCAGGGGCGGCGCCTTCCTCCCAGGCCCCAGCCGGGCCCAGGTCACGCCCCTCCGCGGTCCCACACCCGGGCTCCCTCGGTCCACGCATCCCCATCACCTGCACCCTCGGAGCCGCAGGCAGTTCACAGATTCCGCGCCCGCGCTGGGTCCAATCCGCCGTGGCGCCAGCACCGCCCGGGACCTTGCGTTGCTTCTTGCTGTTGCCATAGGGACCAGAGTGCCGCGCCTACGGCGGCCGCCGAGACTCAAACACCCTCTTCCCGCCTAGCTTTTCCCGCCTGATTTTCGGCCAAGGGTTCTGAACCGCCATCCTTTGGGCTTTCCGGCTGGAACTGAACCGGAATAGCGAACTGTCACCTGCCTAGGTCGGATCTCCTTCAGGCGCTGGCCGTTGGAGGTGCCGCCCTGGATTCTGGGTGCTGCAAAGGAAGGACTGAAACCCTGGGCTACTGAACCAATTTGCTGTGTGACTTGGCCCAAGTTAATGAGACTGAGTCTATTTCCTCATCTACAAAAAGGGGAGCCACCTGATTCACAGGAATATTGTGCAAATCAAAACTACTTGTTAATTGCGTGGAATTATCAATATTTTACCAACCTGACCTCATTTCTCCATTCTTACACCTATTTTTTTTTCAGCATTCACGTCATTGTCAAAGTTATTTCCCATCACACACAACAGATCTTGTTCCTTTTCTGCTTTCAATCTTCCAAAGGTTTCCTACTAGATCCAGGATAAAGCCACCACTGTGGGTCCTGGAGCTCTGACAATGAGGCCAATTTCCTGTCTTCACGTTGCTGGCATTCTACTGCAGGAGGGGAATCAGATAATATGTGTAAAACAAATCAGATTTGATGCCCAGTCCGTTCTTTTAAAGCTCCACATAAGATCTGTTGAAGGTTCCTGAGTTAGTGCTCAGGGTCTTACAGCTCTGTGGTTTTGCAGATACTATTCCCTTTGCCTATCACACCCTTCCCTTCATTTCCTCATGACAAACCTCAAGCCTGTGCTCAGTTGTGCCTCAGTGGGTTCTTGCTGCCAACCTCAGACAGAGGTGGATACTTTGGGCTCTGAGTTCCCACAGCCCTAGTTAGGCGCTGCTAGTCAAGCATCACCTTGAGGTATTTGACTTCTCCACTTCAGTGCCTGGCTTTCCAGGTAGACTGTGGGCTGGGGCCTAGTCTGATTCATCTCTGTAGCTCAAGCACTTGGCCTAGCCTCGGGGATCCCACAGTAATTAATACTCACTGATTCTATGAATGACCCGAATCCAACTCTGTCCATGAAGGAAGAAGTGTTGGTGCTGTCATCCAGGTGCCAGTGCTGCCCTGGCTGGCAAGGCCCTCAAGGATCCCCCTCTCACTCCTGGCCTTTGATTGCACACACATAAGCGCACCTCCCATGGAGACCCCTGACTTCCTACGCGATGCTGCAGCCTGGTGTTTCCCCCCAATTGCAATGCCACACCATTCCCCCTTTTGCTCTTCACCCTGATGTACCTCCTGGTCACAGCTGCTGTCCCAGGAGGTTTCCTGTGCCATCAGGCAGCCACAGAAATTGCCAGGCACTGCGTCCCTGGCTTCCAAATTGCCCCTCCTACCTTCAACCACACCAAGGGGGTTCCCAACCACTCCCTCTGCCATCCTAGACCCCTGGGGGTTTGAGCCCAGAAAATAGGACTCTCCCCATGTCACCATTGTTGATTGGAAGGCAGGGTCTGATTGCCTTCTCGGGGCTGTCTTCTTACTTGATAGAGTCCCCGAGGATCAGGATGAGGCCAGTTCCCACCTTGGCCACAGGAAAGGCCTCTGGTGATACATATCCCCACCCTCTCTTCAGCCGGAGCCAACAGACACGTCAGCTTTGGCGAGGGTTCTGGACACAGCCATGGTCTGCAGTGGTCAGACTCATTGCTAATGGTGTTCTGTTCCTACTGTTGGCTCATACATTATGCAGGAAGGTGGACAGTGCACCAGGCCTTGTTGCCAGGCAGGCTAGTGGGAGGGGTGACGTATGCACCCCACTCTGCCAAAGCCCCACTTCTACCCACATCATACCATTTGTGGGAGACAGCGAGAAACTGACTTCACAATAGCTGGATAAACATCAGTGTCCCTCTCCCTGAAGGTTAAAACTGGGGATGTTGGATAGTATCACAGGTTTTTTGTGCTGCCCTTAGGGAAGGGAGACATGCTCTGGATGATCCTGGGCCAGGTGGGAGACTGGCCACAGAGAAGGCCAGAGATGAAAGAAGCCTGTTCAGACTTGGGCCTGGGCCTGGGAAGAGCACCCGCAGATCTGATTTTGATCTAACCCTTCAGACCCCTCCTATGGCTAGCAGGCAGCATTGTCTCCTAGAGATTAAGCTCACCAGCCTCCTGATTATAAAAATGAAAGGCCTGTGCCTGGGTAATTACCCTGGAGGACCAAAGAGCTGAGCCAGCTTCAATAGAGGCCTCTCTGCAGACCTTATCTTATTTAATCCTCCCTGTAGACCTGGGTGACAGCAGCCATTATTTCCACTTTATAGATGGGAAAGAATGAGGCCTACTTGGGAAAACAGACCCTTTTAGAATCAAGCAAGATCTGGCTATTGGAAATCTAGTTCTGACATTGTACCTGTGTGACCTCAGGCAGATCAACTGACCTCACTGAGCCTCAGTCTTCCTCACCTGGAAAGTGGGAACTTCCACAAGAAGCTGGCAGAATTTGTGATGGTTAGAGAAAGGGTTTGTAAAGTACCTAGCATGGAACAAGAGACCATTAAAAAATATCAAGAGAGCTCAGTGGTAGAGTACTTGCCTAATATGAGCAAGGCCCTGGGTTTGATCCCTAGAACTGCAAAACAACAACAAAACAATTAATGGAGATCACAATGGATACCTGGGAACTATGCTTTATGCATATCTTCTCACTTAATCATCTTGGCAGCCCTTTGTAGCAGCTCTGTTATTGTCCCCATTTATAGATAAGAAGCCCAAGGGACTCAAAGAAGGTGAGTCACTTATATAAGGACTCTTGGCCAGTGAGAGGGCAGAACCAGGATCCAGGTCCAGGCAATGGGACTTTGTGTATATACACAACAGGGGCTCAGAAAGGCACTGCAACTTGGCCAAGATTACACAGCCAACATATGGGGACTTGGGCCCTTGTTGTCTGTCTCCTTCTCCTCTGTTGTGCTTTTTTTGGACTGGAATCACTTGGAATTGTACCTCACCTGGGACAGGTACAAACAAAAGTACTAAATAATAAATACCCAGGCACCCGGGCCAAGAGTCTCCCCAGAGCACGAGTGGGGGGAATTGGGCCTTCTCTTGGTGTCAGGTGGGGAACAGGCCACTCTGACTGCTTATTGTTTACTTATTCACAGCCTGTGATGATATCACAGCTGCGCGCCGGCAGGCAGAGGCCCGCTGTGCCCAGGTAAAGAGGGTGAGCACAGCAGCCTGAAGCAACAGAGACCCAGGTAAACCAGTGGCAGGTCTGCCAGGACAGGATGCGGGGAGAGACTGGTGTGGGGAGCTGGGGGGAGCGGGGAGAGGGCAGTGCCACCCTACACTGCCCCTTTACATGCGGTGGTGGCCAAAAGCTTTCTGGCTGCACTCCCAGGCCAGGACTGGCTGGTACCATCTCCCTTTCTTCACAGGGGAGCCCACACACTTCTATAACACCCGACAAGTTGCAGTGTGCACAGTGCATCCCATCTTGGTTTATTTTAGGTGGTACAAACAGTTCAGCATCCACTTCCCTTTCAACACTTCTAAGATGGCTCCAGGAGAAAGTCTCTTTCTGCTGCCAGGACCTCTTAACACCTTTCTATCTGTGCTTATCTTTTTCTCTTTCTTTTAACCAAGAGACAGCAGCCTCCAGCTCAGAATATGCAGTGGGGACATCTTCTGGATAGAAGGTTATGGCCTGTCCAATTTATATATGTATATATGTTACTTGTCTATTTACAAGCGTTCTATTTCTTATCGTGATTAAAAACTTTCCTTTTAGTTAGACCCGGTGACAGTGATGCACCCCTGTGATCTCCAGCACACAGAGAAGCCCTGGGAAGAGAATCGGAAGTTCAAGGCCAGCCAGGACAACCTAGTGAGACCCTGTCTCAAATAAAATAAGAAAAGGTGGGTGTGTATCTTAGAAGTAAAGTACCTGTGGGGTTTCACCCCAATTTAAAAAAAAGTATCCTTTTAGAGTACATGGTTAAAAGTGGGAACCCAAGAATTCAGACTACTAGGTTCAAGTCCTGTCTCTGCCACTAACTACTACTTGTGTGACCTTGGGCAAGTCACATAGCCTCTCTGTGCCTCAATTTGTTCATCTGTACAGGGAAGGTATTTCTAAAGTTATTATGATTAGATAATATATTATTATTATTAGATAATATATGTAAAGGGCTTAGATTGGTGCCTGGCATCTGTCAATGTTGTATAATTATTTGCTATTATTAGGTCAAATAGTACAAAAACCAAAACAAAACCATTAACTGAAGTTCGGGAAACACTTCTTTGAATCCATTCCATCATTTTGCACATCAAGGAACAAAGGTTTGGAGAAGATAAGAAGCTAAGCGAGGACATTGGTAAGTTTTCAATTCCCAGTCTCATGATCAGTCATTTCAATAATGAATAAAAATACCTTTGAGTCTCGACTTATGCATTTGAAAAATGGAAACATCAAGGGGCTGGGGATGTGGCTCAAGCGGTAGCGCGCTCGCCTAGCATGCGTGCGGCCCGGGTTCGATCCCCAGCAGCACCACATACCAACAATGATGTTGTGTCCGCCGAGAATTAAGAAAAAATAAATAAATGTTAAAAAAAAAAAAAAAAAAAAATGGAAACATCTCATTGGAGATTGGGATAGTGTGTGTAAGGGGGACTCAAAATGTTTGTCAGTGTGTTGTTGCTCCTGAATTCTCAACTGGGGTACATTGCCCCTCAGAGGGCACAAACTGGTTCTTGGGTCAGGCACCATGGTGCATGCCTGTAATCCCAGCAACTCAGGAGGCTGAGGTAGGAGGATCCCAAGTTCAAGGCCAGCTTCAGCAACTAGCAAGGCCCTATGTAACTTAGTGAGATCCTGTCTCAAAACAAGAAGGGCTGAGGATGTGGCTCAATGATAAAGTGCCCCTGTGTTCAGTCCCTAGTACCCCTTAAAAATTGTTCTTGGGGCAAAAAATTCTTATTCTTTAACATATGAAGCACAGATATACATAAACAGATGTACAGTACATCTGTGTTATTAAAATTTTATGATGGGGGCTGGGAATGTGACTCAGTGGTAGAGTGCTCCCCTTGCATGTGTGAAGAACTGGGCTCAATCCTCAGTGCCTAAAACAATAAAAAAAAAAATCACAATGGGCAGCAATTAGGAGGAAAAAATACACACACACACACACACACATTCAAGTTTTCTTAAAAGAGCAGTAATGGGGGGGAAAAAAAGTTGAGAAACACTGCTGTCAACCCAAGGCTGACCTACAAAGATTGTGACCCACTAGTGGGCTGTGAAATCATGACCAGCATTTGGGGGAACCACACAAAAGGCTGCACATAAGGACCAGGCAGTACTGAGAGAAAGTTCCCCAGGTGGAGGGAATTTTCCACTCTCAGTGGTAGAGATTATCTTAGCATACTCAAGGCCCTGGATTTGATCCCCAGAACTAATAATAATAATAATAATAATAATGATAGTAGTAGTAGTAGTAGTGGTAAAGTTTGCTTTCAGTTCAGTTTATAAAATAAAAGGTAATTCTGGGTGGGGGGGAGTCACTTTAAAAAAGTTGAAAGCCATTACTCTAAACCACTCTTTCTCCCAGATGCAGTGGTACATGCCTGAAATCCAGTGGCTCAGGAGGCTGAGGCAGGAGGAACTCGAGTTCAAGGCCAGCCTGAACAACTTAGTGAGGCCCTAAGCAACTTAGTGAGACCCTGTTTCAAATAAAAATAAAAGGGGCTGAGGATGTGCTCAGTGGTTAAGCACCCCTGGGTTCAATTCCCAGTACCTAATAATAATAATAAATGAATAAATAAGATTAAAATCGGGCTGTTGGTAGAGTGCTTGCCTCACATGCACAAGGCCCTGGGTTCAATCCCCAGCACCACATACACACACAAAAAAAAAAAGAAAGAAAAAGAAAAAAGAAAAAAAAAAGTACCTGGGGCTGAAAGATCAGTGGGTCAGTGGTAGAGCACTTGCCTAGCCATGTGTGAGGCCCTGGGTTTGATTCTCAGCACTGCATATAAATACATGCATAAAATAAAGGTCCATCAACATCTAAAAAATAATTTTAAAATAAGATTAAAATTTTAAATAAAGGGTTGGAGATGAAGCTCAGAGGTAGAGCGTCTCTGGGTTCAATCCCCAGAAAAGAAAAAATAAATAAATAAGCGAACAGGCAGACCACTGTTTCCCCTCACCCTTTAGTTCCCAGGCAAGCCTGCGCAGCCTCGGACTGTCTGGCTTGAAACAAGAAGATATTGACGACAGGAGAAAGAGCTGCAGGGGAGCCCGAATCCAGTGAAACGCGGACCTGACCTTTCCCGGCTCATGGCCCCAGAGCTCTCAGCCCTCCCTCACGCTGCGTTCCAGGGTAAGCCACACATCCAGGGCAACACCAGTACCCCTTAGCACCAGAGGGGGGCTGGCCCACTTACTCCTTCCTCTGCCTGAGCTTTCCTCCACCTGCCCTCCCCTCCCAACCTGGGAGGCAGCAGTCATAGCTCTGCCATTGACTGTGCCACCTAGGACAAGTCGCCTAGCTCTCCCAGCCTCAGTTTTCTCAGCAGTAAAATGGGAGCATGGTTTGGAAGGTGGTAGGGAAGGCAGAATGAGAGGGTAGAGAGATTTTAGCACACAGCCTTCTGGGTGCTCACAATGATAGTAACTGAATGCTGTGGGAAGTCATTTATGTACATTATCTCTATTTAATCCTCACAATGAACCTGCACAGAGGAGGGCAGACTCCAGAGACAGGTTGGCCTGGTTTCAAATCCCAACTCAGTGTTATCTTTCAGTGTGTGTGGGCTGAGTCATGAAAGAGAAAGTATCTCTGGAAATCTTTTTCTTTCTTTCTTTTCTCTTTCCTCTTTCTTTTCCTCTCCCCTTTCCTCCCTTCCTTCCTTTCTCTGTTTTTAGACATCATCTCACTGTGTTGGTTAGAACTCCTGAGATCCAACTCCTGCCCAGCCTTCTGACTAGCTAGAACCACAGGTGTGCACCACCCACTGGGCTCTTGTCCTAACTTTTAAAGTCCATCTGGATTCCTTTCTTTGTAAGCTGTGCTGCCTTTTTAAAAAGGAGATTTCACTGGGCACAATGATCACACCTGTAATCTTAGAAACTCCAGAGGCTAAGGGAGGAGGATCACAAATTCAAGGCCAGCCTTAGTAATTTAGCAAAACCCTATTCAAAATAAAAAGGGCTGAGGATGTAGATCAGTGGGAGAGCACCCTGGTTTAATCCCTAATACCCACCCACCCTCACCCCCACCCCCACCCCCATGCCCCCCCACCATAGCAGCCTCC